TAATAAATGTATATAATTTCTGCATAGTCCAAGTACTAATGAAAAGTGTGTAGAACGTGGATAAAGAAGATGCAATATCATCTTCTTGAAGTTAAAGTAAATCAAACATTGTCATTTGCCAGTCTCAAACTTACAAAAGAATAGATATTAGGTTTTGTCTGTTTAGCTGTGCTTCATTTCTGATGTGGCTATTGAACTAATCTTTCAGTGTTGACTGGAAATGATATGAACTGTGTCTTAATGGAGGCTCCCACCAGGAAGAAGTCCAGCATCTCTAAGGGAAGGCCTTGTCCTTGAGATCTCTCTGCTTCTTTCTGTTTTGATTAGGTCCATTATCATACATTACAATGCAGCCTTCCAATGATTACCTAGCGTGAGATAAATCCAGGTCCCGAGTCATCAACATGCGCAAGCCATCCTCATTGAAGAAGAGGTTGTTTCCACTGGAAAGGATTCCACACTTCCGGGATGGCTTTCCACCACTCATTAATAAGAATCTATCAGATTCCAGTTGACCTGAAAAAAGTGGGAAATGTAGTTTACCCATGAACCCCAAGTATAATTATTCTATTTTAAAAGGAATATGGTAAATACATTTTGTACTTTTTGTTTTATTTTTTTCAGTGCTGGGGATTGAGCCTAGGGCCTTGGGCTTGTAGGCAAGTGCTCTACCACTGAGCTACACTGCCAGCACCACCATATAGTTTTTAAATATAAAGTCATAAATATTAAAGTGTATTTTGGGAGAAGGCTCCTTTTCAACGTATTAGTTTATTTGAATTGTTTAGCCTGGGCTAGTATAATCTAAGAGCCCACATGATAGAAGGAAAAATCTTTCCTTGAGGATTAATAGTCTGGCCAGATGGGTCTCTCTTTTTTATTATTCCACACTGAAAAAAAAAATGATACTACATAGTCACAGAGTGTGTGGCCCCAAAGTGAAGGAGAATATACAGGCTTTTCACCAGTCTTTCCACTGTGTCCTCTCTAATGTGAGGATAGTATTAGGCAGGGATAACAAAAGATTTTTTAAAAACATGGTTTTAATAGAAGAAATTTTAGTGTAACTTAATAGCTCCTATTAAATAATATGTGTGTGTATGTATGTATGTATATTTTGGTGCTGGAGATTGAACTCTGGGTGTTTTTACCACTGAGCCACATCCCCAGCCCTTTTTATTTTGAGATAGGGTCTCATTAAGTTGCCCAGGCTGGCCTTGAACCTGCAATCTTCCTGCCTAATGCTCACAAGTTGCTGAGATCACAGCGTATATTACTGTGCCTGGCTTAAATAATGTTTTGAAAGTCAGCTTTCAACTGTATTCAGCTATTCATCTTAGATTTCATATATTTTTATTGTAAAATATGCAAAACATTAAGTTTACCATTTAAACCATTTTACAGTGAAAAATTCAGTGACATTAAGTATGTTATTTGTGTTGTGCAACCATCACTGCTGGTAGTTCAAGTTTCTCATCACCCCAAAAGGAAACCTTGTACCCCCATTAAGCAGTTACTCCCCATTTTCCCACCTCCACCCACTGGAAACCACTAATTTTTCTCTGTTTCTATGGATTTACATATTTTGGATATTTCATATATATGAAATATATACCATGTGGCCTTTTGTGCTGGCTTCTATCACTTGGCATAGTGTTTTCAAAGTTCATTCATGCTTTAAAATGTATTCATATTTCATTCCTTTTTATGGCAGTATAATGTTCTATTGTTTATCTATACCTAAATCTAGTTTTAATATGTACTGTAAACCCATAAATATATAGTTTTAAGGAAAATTTGGGAAAAACAAAGAAAAATTTTTAATCTCATTATCCTAATATAGATAGCTATGACACAAGACTTTCTCTTAGAAAATATTTTTCCATAGCTTGGTCATAGTGCATCTACAATCTAAATGCTTTTATATAATTATTACATCATGTACATTTTTCTATGTTGTGACATTATCTTCACATATAATGATGCTGGATTTAGAGGTTTAAAAGCAAGCTCCAAAAAGCGATGAGAGGTTCTTTAGTGAGTTATTGGGAAAGCAATGAAAGGAAGTTAGATTTCTGATAAATCATTTCTTCCCATCCAAGAAGACTAACTTTCTGGAGATACTTTCCAAAATTTTCATTAATTAGAAGTTACATGTGACATAAAGGGTAAGTAAAAATGGCCTTAGTTTTTTCTCTATAAAGGTCCTGTTCGCTCTTGATGATTATTTAAAAAGTGGAACCCTAATAAATTCAGAACTAAATGAACTCTTCAGTGTTTACAATTATTTTGATAAAATTGATACTCAATTTATAAGTTCTTTCATAAAGTTACACAGAATTTATGAAAAGACTACCTTCAAAATCATCCTTAAGAAAATCAGGATTTTTGGTGCTTATTTTACAGGTTGGACCTGAGTAGCCAGGATCACATATACATTTGGTTCCATTGACACAGCTCCCATGTCCATTACACATCTCTTCACATTGGGGACCAATGTAGACATTATCAATGGCCCATGTCACTGGCTGAGAGCCTGCAGGGTAAAATCCCTGATACCATCTAAAACGTACAGATCTGGAAAAGAGGTACAAGTCTTTAAAAAATGAATCAACAGAACAATACACCTTTAGAGTAAACACGTCTGATCAATAAGCAATGGGAAGTTACCTCCTGTGTACCACAATCAAGAAGCAGAAAATATAATCTGCCATTTCAGGAACAAAATTACATTCTCCAATCTCCAGAAAATTTTCAATAAGTTTCTTGCTTCTGGCAAGCCCATTGCAATTCTATCAATATGTAAAAATCCCACCACCTGACCTGCCCACCTTTTTCAATACTTCATACCTCAATGAAGATTCCATCCCTATCATGTATACCCTGCATAACAAACCTTTTAATTTTTCAAATTGAGGTAAACTTCATATAGCATAAAATTAACCACTAACCATTTAAAGTGTACAGTTCAGTAGCATTTACACAGTTACCGTATTGTCTCTCTTTATCTAGTTATGAGATATTTTCATCACCCCTAAAAGAAACCCCCTTTGCCCACCCAGCCCCCGACAAACCACTAATCTGCCTTCTATTTCTGTGGGTTTCCTATTTTGACATTTCATAGAAATGAAATATATGTGACTTTTGTGTCCAGCTTCATTCATTTAGCATAATTATTTTAAGGTTCATCCACATTAGCAAGAATCAAAATTTCATTCCTTTTTATGAATGAATAATATTCCACTATATCAATATACCATTTTTTTTCATTCATCAATTGATGAACACTTGGTTGTTTCCACCTTTTGGCTACCGTAAATAGTGATGCTATGAACATTTGTGTATAGTACAATATTTGCTTAAATAAGTGTTTTGAATTCTTTTTGGGTAGAATGGTAGTGTAATTGCTGGGTCTTATGATCTATGACTAATCTTTTTATTTCTCAATATCCCTTCCATAGTTTTGATGGAATTTCCATTATTATAGTTATCATAGCTGGAGTTATTTAAAAGTGTGCTAATTTCCTCACTTGTAGAAGCTTGTAGAATCCAATGTCCATATGTCCCTTTTCACATTTTCGATGGTGTCCATTTCTATTTTTCATACACAGTAGATATTCAGTAAATTTTTAAGAGAAAAAGCAAGAAATCACCTATATTTTTAGTTTGCAATTTCTTAATTTTTAAAAAACTCAAAGATAAATAAATGAACTGTCTTATGTTAATGATGATAAATTAGCTCCTTGGAAATAATCTACATATTTAGGTAGCAGTCTAGAAATAGTTTAGTATATTTTATCATATATAAAACTCAGTTCAAAGAAGATGGACTTATTAAATAAATTAATTAATTAAAAAAAGAAGATGGATTTATTTTAGAGAGGGCAGGATATAGAAATGGCACGTATACATACTTTTGTGCATTTAGAATCTGTCCAATTTCCTGTCATTATAGAAACTGAATTCTTAATATTTTTTATTATTTGAGAAATAAAACTCAGAAGTCAAATACTAGAGCTGGGGATGGATGGTGAGAGGGAAATGTATTTGTTAAGCTTCTAAAATTTAGAAAATAGTAAAGGAGGTAGAGTCAAGTTCTTACACATAAATTTAACTCTCATTCCTTGTTTATATCAAGACTCCAACTATACTGAGCTGCCCCCAAAATGCCAGTTCATAATTAAACTTATTTTCAAATACTTGCCAGAGTTTAGTCTTGGCAAGAAGCACTTCTTACCTTTTGAACTTCCAGACTGCTGAGCTGAGGGAAATGGCTGGAGTTTTCCTTTGAACAAAAGCCTACATGGATTTTTTGGAACTTCTTATTTATTCAAATGTTCTGAATACAAATGAACCACCTTGGTTGGATATTTATTATTGTTCACCTGCCTTGACAGAAACTGCAGGCGTTATGATAAATGGTATGAAGGGTATGGTTTTGCTGTGGTTCCCTTCTGCCAAAATCTTATTTTGAAAATCCCTCATTCTCCTTGGTGAATGTCAGCACCTGTCCTCCTAAACCAGTGTTACTGAAAGGATCTGTTTTCTAAACATAAACTTAACATTTCAAGCACACAGCACTGCCTCCATTAAATAGGGTTTTTGGTGGACTCATTATGAAACTGCATAAAGCAAAAACAATTAGGAAGTTTAAAGACAAAAGATTCTAGACTAAAAGGACACAAAGGTGATGTGAATAAAATTAGATGGAAACTCAATACTTGGCTTTTGAATATAAATGGGCAATATGCAGAGGCAAAAACATCAACATTTGCCACCTGAAAATATTTGATATATTTGTGTGTGTTTGTGTGTGTGTGTCTTTCTGTAGTGTCTAAAAAGTCACAGGGGTAATTTCAATGTAGATTTTATATATTTTTAGCAGCTAGCACTTGAGCCATTACTATGTGCCATGTTGAATACAAACCAAGAAATGGTTCACTGAGTTGGAGAAAATTTAACTTTTGCCTTCCAGCAATTCATGCCTGTGTGCATTTTAAAAACAGTGCTAATTCCTTCCCTGAAACAAGGACTAGACAACAAATTTTTCCCCTCACAGAAATGGCTGAAGGCAGTTTGAAAGGTAGGTTTATACCACTCTGAGAGTGGGCATGCCTCCATAACCCATTTGATTTCTTCTCATAGAAATAAAACAACACAGACTACAAAGGACATGACAGTGTAAATTCTGTACACAACAATATAGGATTGTATTTTGTAAGTGGATTTTTATCAGTGGGGTGAAAACTCAGATGTCTGCATTTCTCTTGTTCAAATTTCCAAAATTATGTTGCCATTGTTTAAAAGTAAGCAAAGCAGAGCAGCATCACCAGCTGCCAAGTGTGGTGGTCTCCATGACATGCACATTGTCCTGGTATGGGCATCTTCATTCAGGGGCTCTCACTGGCAGACTTTTTTGACCGTAATTCAAAACCTTCAGACAGCATTGCCATTAATTCCATATTGGGAACTTGCTGAAGCAAGTCTCAGTTGGTTAAACAATCTAAAATCATGGCCTACCACCTATCTTTAAGGATTTTTTTTCTACCTAATAATTCTTAGCTGGGCAATTGGAGAAAACCAGGTCCACGAAAGGGAAAACTTGGCACTTCTCAGCAATATAGTGATGGAGTTTGATGGAATGTTCTAGTCATAGGTGTGTGTCTGTGTGTGTCTGTTTAAGAGACAAAAGAACATAAACTGGGCGACTGACAAACAACAGAACTTATTTCTTACAGTTCTGGAGGTTGGAAGTTTAAGATCAAGAAGCAAGAACATTGTGTCTGGTAAGGCTTGCTCTGGGGTTCACAGATAAGGTAAGGTAACTGTCTGGAACTTCTTTTACAGGACAGTAATACCACTCATGAAAGCTCTACCCTCCCCAAAGACCCCACTTTCTAATACCATTACTTTAGGGGTCCATATTTCAACAGATGAATTTTGGGGTGGGGTAGAACATGAACGATCACACCTCAGTACTGACTGCCTATGTGACTGGATAGCCAGGCTTTTCTCCCTGACTACCTGCCCACAGGCATGGTCTTTTGGAAGTTTTGCTTCTGCTTCAACACTTGGATTTCTGGCCAAAGATTGGTTCAGATTTTTAGGAAACCTGCAATTGAGAGCTCTGGAAAATGAGAGTTGTGGTTTGCTGAGTGATGCTAATATTAGCATGTTAAAAATGAGGATCACACTTTGTTGCTGAAGTCCTCACACTTGCTGAATGGAGTCTTTTGTAATTCCTTAATATCTTTCCAATAAATTCTTCAACAATTTTAGAATAATTTTTATATTTCTTGCAACAAACTATCTTTAATACAACTGGTTTTGGATAAAAAGTTTTTCCAGAGCTATTTTCCCCTTCCTACTTCTTCTGTAGACAGCTGTCCCAATCAAGAGGAGCTTTCTGGTTGCACAGACTGAATTATCAGCTCCATTCAGGAATTCTCTCCAGAGACTCTGCTCGCCTCCTCTGGATATCATTTCTAAGGAACTAGGGGGACATTTTGGTTAGTAGTGTTTATCTTTTTAAAAATAGCTGGATTTTCTATCAAAATAATGTCTCATATAACAACAAGGATTAGTAAGTGACATTAGCTGACAACAGAAAATATTTAAGTCCTTAGCAGTCAAATTATAAAACTTATGCTATCGAGATGATGAGGAAGGAAATGGATTTATGTTCAAAGAAGACACAGACTTTGGAAAATTCACTTTCATTCTTTTGGAAAAGTACTACGTATTAGTAGTAGTTTTGTTTGAATACCCAAGAATTCTAATTATGCTCAATTTCACATCAGAAATATAAATCTATTTCCATTTTGAAAGTAGGATAGTACTTCTTTCTTCTTTTTTACATACTCTGAAATAATAAATTCCTATTCTGAAAGAACAGACAAATTCCGAGGCAGGCTGCTTTGTTGACTTCCTCCCTTTGTTCACTTATATTATTAGCTTTATTTTTTGAACTATATTCTTTATTTCATTTTTATTATGGTTGAAGTCCTTTATCTCCAAATAGCTTTTCAACAGAGGTTGAAAAAGTAGAAATGCCTGAGGGAAAAGTGCTAATGATTTTTTTTTTAGTGAGACATCAGGAATGTGTTTGGGCTTCCATCCTCCATTTGTTCCCACTTTCTGCATGAGAGACACAGGATGATGTTTGAATGATTTGAATGAGGTGGGGTCACAGGTACAGTCTACAGAGTGCTCTTAAATATACCTTCATACTGTTAGTTAGCAGCTTTATCAACTCTGTGTCCTATGCTTTAAATACCTATCCATCTGGTTCAGGTGAGAACTGAGAAAGAAGAGGAAAGTGGAATTTTTCCCTGATAGAGTAGCAAGTCAACGATGACTTCAGGAACAAACTCTCAAATGCGACAGTTTCCATCTTGAAAGGTATGACTACTCTCTTTTGCAAAATACTTGAGAGAATAAAAATTCTTCATTCTGGAGGAATGAAGACAGAAATTCTGAGCCAGGCTCAGAATCAAAGTGGTACCAAGCAGCAGGTCCTCACCCGCAAAGGTGCAGCTTCCCGAAGTGCACGACCTCCCTCCTCCAGCCCTGGGTGGTCCCCGCGTAGTAGGTGCTGCTAGGGTGGTGCTCAGTGGAGCATAAGGAGCTGACGTGGCTGCTGCTGTGGTAGCAGAGGGGAAGCAGCAGGTGCCAAGTGGCCCCAAAGTCCCTTGAAAATTCCAGTCTGACTGGATCAGTAGATGAGCTATCAGTGGAGCATCCAACATTGATCTTGGGATAAAAGAAAAAATGATACAAATTATCTCAGAGCGACAAGCCTTGAAATGATTCACCACTTCATTATTTTCCAGAGAGTCCATTTTCCTGGGAGCTGTCTCACTGAAATATTTAACACTGTAAGATTCTGTTTTGCCTGAGCAATATCATATATTTCCTTTAAATTACATTTTTTTTCATAAAGAACCTCAAAAGACCTCATGAAAAATTTATTTTCCCTCATTTTATGAGAAACCAGGAAGTGAATAAGGCAAAAAGCTGGGAGAATTCCAAATTTTACCTTTCGCCTATTTTCATAACCAAACCAAGCAATTTGTAATAAAAAGAGTTGTTTCCCTAATCCTGTCAGCTTCTCCCCCTAGTCTGTTAGGGAGGAATGCTTTCTGTTTTTCCTCTTCTGATACCTTCTAAGAAATCCCAGAAGTTATACATATGGAGGGTCTTCAACAATATTCAATATCAAAACAAAACAGAATACGATCGATATTATTTCCCTGGCACAAGGAAAGAGGTTTTTTTTCCTCCTCAGATATATGTAGTTAAGGTGGACAGGGCTGTTTTGAAAATATACCCAGTGAAATGACCACTAGAGTTAAGCAAATTAATCTGTCCATTGCTTCCATGGTTACCCTTTTTATTTTTAAAAAAAATTAAAATATATTTTTTATAACTTTATTCATTCACTCACTCATTCATTCATTCATTCATTCATTTTTATGTGGTGCTTACCCATGGTAGGCAAGTGCTCTACCACTGAGCTATAACCCCAGTCCTCCACAGTTACCTTTTGATGTGTGTTGGGATGTGTGTGTGGGGTAAGAACAGCTAAAATCCACCCTCTTACCAAAATTCAGTACACATTACAATAATATTTTCAACTATAATCCTCATGCTGTACACTAGGTCTCTAGTTTATTAATCCTACATAACTGTGAGTTTGTATCCTTTGACCTACTCCCATTTCCTTCTCATCTGACCCCGGATAACCTGCTTCTATGTAAAAACCTTTATACCATGAGAGAAAAACAACTACTTCATCCCCTGAACCAAGGCTTTCAAGGGCAATAAGCTAAAACTTACATGCATGTGATTCTTCCTGTGAAAACATCCCCTTCAGATTGAGATGAACATTTTCTATCATGCCATCACAGCCACTGGTTAATGATATGCAGTTTGTATGTGTACATATGTTTACTCTTTTTACTTTTTGATGAGTAAACTACTGGTATTTGATAAACTTTTCAACTATAGATACTTTCTTCTACTTTGAATTCATTAGTAACAACTCTTAAAAGAGACAAAGGTATGACCTTTTAATTAGCATTTAAAGCATAAAATAAGATTAGAAAATATAGCAAAGTTTACAAAATAATTTCTCCACTACCATTTGGTTTTTAACTTCTGAAATTGCAACCAATAACTCTAATGTCGAGAATGCAGAGGGAAAGTCTAAAATATTCAAAACTGTGCTGACACAATTAGGCACTATTTTAAATAAGTCTGCTGATTGGTTGATACAGACCTCAGCTATGAAATTCTGTTATAATGTACCTTTGTTTCTGTGGATTTTATCCAAGATTTTGAAATATGTAAAGGTTTTTATGTTGTTAATCTGTTTTCTTGACAAACATAAGGAGTATGAAAATATTAACAAAATACACAGCAAATTTCTTTAAAATGATAAAACAGTGCAGTATTGTTTTATCTGTAAAATCCATATTAGTGTGAAAATGTATATAGACATTGATTTGGGTCCTAAGAAATATCAAGTTTCACATGGAAACTGAATATAATAATATCAGAATATGATCCTTTTCATTTTTATAATGGTCAAAATAATTTATTTCAACAATTTATTGTAGTAGGTGGGGACACTATGTCATCGATAAAAGACAGAAACTCAGAAATAAATGTTGGTATGACATTATTAGCTCTGCTAGTAAAAGTGAATTATTACTCCAAAATCTCTTATGCCCTTGCACAAAAATGGAAGTCATAATGCATGAAATTATCTGAATTTTCCCTCTACTTTTGTAGCTTTTGTTCAAGATAAAACAAAAAATATTTTCCCATTTTTTTAAATTGCTGCATTTTAGAGGGATTAGTTGTTACTTATTTGTACATGCACACAATATAATAATATAATTTGGCTGATATTATTCCCCAGTATTTCCACTTTCCCTCCCCTGCTCCCTCCTTCTGGTCCCTTTCCTTTATTCTACTGATCTTCCTTTGATTTTCATGAGATCCCTCCATCTCCTTTCTTTTCCTCTTTACTCTCCACATGAGAGAAAACATATGACCCTTGACTTCTGAGTTTGGCTTATTTTACTTAACATAATATTCTCAAATTCTATCCAAAAGTTTTAAGTATTCCTGATAGAATCAAGTTAAATACCTCAAATTGTATTATGGTGTTCTCATTCACATTGAGGTCACGGGTGGTAATCGAGTGTTCACCGACTTCATTAGAAACGAACACCATCGCTGAATCTTCCTCACTGTTATTCAACAAACAAACAAACAAACAAACAAACAAAGCACAATAAGGAATCCACTTAGGTAAGAATTCATCAGGATTTGTATAGAGCAGTAGTTTTATTTTTACCTTCTCAATTAAATACTTACGGTGCTCCCTTTGAAGAATAGGGGCAATAAAGACCAATGTTACCGCCAGGATAGAAAAACCAATTGTCTTCTCTGGGCCCAAAGTCAAATGTATCCAGAAGCATTACAGGGTTGTTCAGATTATTTCCATCAATAATAAAATCATCAACAATCCAGATCTCTTCTTTCTTACCTAAGGCATTTTTAGATAAAAGCAAGTTTTTCCAAAGATGAAAATCAGATGGACATTTTTGCTCATTGGAAGAAAGTAAAGGACGGAAGGAACTCAGTAACAATAGGTCAAACATATGCCTTCTAGACAAAACCCACAAACGATATGACAGCGTGTTCACAGTGATCAAAGTGTGAAGAAATTTAAGCTTGCAACCATAATAAATTGACACGGCACAGAAATGCCTCGCTAATTTCAGAAAGCGTTAACAAATGGCTTGTGGGAGTGTGCTGTCCTTCCAGTTACAGTAGCATTACGCAGGGTAGGGTCTGAGTCGTTTGTGGTTTGGGGAAATCTGTAAGATGTCTGCTCTGTGGAGAGGGGCAGTCGGACTCAGAACCAGGAATAGTAACTAGTCTACTCAAGGAGCCACTTGTGACTGGGTCAAACCATGACTTAGCAACAGGATTAATTTAGGTGGAAGGACTATGGCCCTTAAAACACTGCCCCGGTAGATAAATAAATAAACAATTAGATGCAGTTAACACAAAGGAAAAATATTCTAATATATAATGCTTAATTTTTCCTTAATGGTTTTCAAAATCTCCAAAGCTTATTTAAAGATATGCGGGAATATATAGAGAATTAGTGTGTCATACGATTTGACTCAGTGACGTAGGCCAGGTGTTTAAGGAATATGCCGCAGGGCTGATGAGAAGGCAAAACCCAGGCTGCTTTTACAAAGCACTGTCTGGACTGAATTTGAAGCAAGCTGATAAAACCAGGCCAAGTAGAAATGTCAAGATTCCTTCTAGCTGGCTTCTTTCTACATTTAGTACAATTCTCACAAAATATAAAAAAGGGTCTATAAAAGAAGCCTGCAGAATTAACGTAATACTTTAAATGAAATGTGTTGAATTTACTCTAATGCTTTGTTTCCTTATTTTTGAAGTGGCTGGTAATACAATTAAAAACAAAAACCCTGTGAGCATTCCAAACACAGTATGGAGACAGCAAGCTTCTGGATTTTGAACTGGTTATATTCATTTTTTGTATTTTTATTTATTGATTATACAGGAGATATACATACATACACACACACACATACACTCACACACATATATACACACAAGACATCTATATCTACCTGTAGACCTATACATACATAAATAATCCTATATAATATCATATATATTTATGATAATTAATTTAGATGAAAATCATCATAATTTTATATATTTTTTTCAAAATAAGCTAAAATTTTATGTCTTAATAAAGAGATACTCATACTTTAGAGATGGAAGTACTTCTTTCTTCTTCATTTCTGTATTACCTCTGCAAAGAATTCTGCTTAATGTGGTATCTCTGTGCTTATTTGGGCAATTACATACATGATTTAGTAAATTCTGGTTCTTTGTAATCAACAGTTAATAGAAATATTGGAAGCAATAAAACATTACACATTACAATCATTTTTTGTAACCATTTGAAAATGCCATTAAATTATACATTCACTTTAACTTATCACTGAAGCAAGTGTATGTGGCAAGATATTCTATTGGGCACATGAACTGCTTTGTCTGAGTGCTTTTCCCTTGGCCATGGTGTTTTGCTATCATGTTCTATTTCACTAAGGAAATGACAAAATCAGAACCATTCCTAAATGAATTCAACAAAAATGCACTTACAACCAATGAATGCCTAATGATAATGCTGGATGTTTAAAAAAGAATATTAGCTCTGTGTCAGGATTCAGCTGTATTTAACCATCAGGAGAGCTTACTAGTCAAGTATGCAGAGGTGATAAAGATACATAAAGTTAAGTATTCATTGAGACAGGTCAAAAGTGAGGCATGTACCACACGTGTGCTGTGGACAGCTAAGTCCCTGGGTTGACACTCTGAGTCTCCACTCCTGAGAAATAAGTATGTTAACATTCCAAAGGTAATTTTGATCACAGATAAACACATGCATTTTTACCATTATTATAAGGTTGCCAAAGTCTGAATCTTGTAGCATTGGTTTGGGCACCGTATGGCAAGGGAACATTAATGAAAAGTATATTGGTCGTTTGAGGGAAGTAAAATTCATCCATCAGGTGCCAAGTGATTCCTCCATTGATAGAAAATTGTAGCAAAACAGAGTGAGACCTCTCTGGGGTACCTAGGAAGAAGATAACAAAGGCATAACATGTATTGTGATAAAAACGGGGAAATAGTATGTTTGTAGCTATTCTTCTAGCATCAATTCATGAGCTGGTTTACGTTTACATAGAGGTTTTATAGTTCAAATGCATATGAAAGTGATGACAGGCTGGGTTTTTTTTATATAAATGTATCTTAAAAAATACACAATAAATCTGGGATTTGCATACAATAACTCCCTTTGTCTTTTAGCTATGTGCCCACACACTTCTCATTTAGGAAATGTTACATTGAAAATTTTTGATTTTACTGGCATGGTAATTTTATAAGGGTCAAACATTTAAATCTTGAGGTACAAACAAAAAACTACTTGAAAATTTATTATACCCACAATGACATTTTTTAAAAAAGAAAATCAATTAGTTAAACATGAAAAGTCAGTTCTGGCCAAATTAAACTGTTATATCATATGCATGTATGAATATGTAACAATGAATCCCACCATTATGTATGATTATAATACATCAATAAAAAGTATGGAAAAAAACATGAAAAGTCAGAATGACAAACAGTAGGTATTTGGGAGTTCACATCTATAAAAGAAAATACAAAATTTTATAAAATAAAAAATTTTAATTTAAAGCTCTTATAGCTAGAAAATAGTGGTGGAAAGACTCAGGGACATAATGATAAATTTAACTACCATGGAACTATTGAGATTACTATGGCTATATGAAATAAGTTAAAAATCAGTAGTTATCTTACGCTAAAGAAGAACATTTGTGAACATTCATGTATACCAATTTATATTAGCTCTTTTATACAACAAAATTTGTAGTCCTTAAGTACAGTACTTCTTTCTGGAGGAGTTATGCTTGGAGAATTTTCTTGAAGGAAAACAATGAATTCAAATCTCTAGACATAGCTTACCTTTTGCTATAAATCTAAGTGAAAACTGGACATACACAGTATTGGTGCAATCTAGATCTCTTGAAATAAGCATCCTCAGTCCTTCCTGAAAACAAAAATAGACGGGTCAAGCAATCTTGTTTCATTTGCAAAGTTATTTTCCTCTGATTTTACACATTTAACTTGCACTAGTTAAATAATTACCTATCATGATCAAGAAGCAAAATTTTGTCCAATTCAAAAGGAGAAATTGAACAATCTTCATTCCCTCTTTCATAATGGTCTCCATTTCCTGTGTGTGAGTAACCCAATTGCATTGTCTCACCTCGGAATCATAGTTTGCTGTGACTTTTATAAAAACCAGCACAAATGATAGCATTATATATCTACAAGACTTTTTAAAAATAGCCTCCTTTGATCACAGCATGTCGTGAAAGAAGTAAGGAGAAAAGCAGATGGAAAATGTGCCAAGGGCTCCTGCTGGAGGCCGGGAACTAATAGGTAACTTTCTCAGGGTTCTGAGGAGTCTTAGAGACTCACTACTCCCTTGTCTGCTCTGCCAGCCCCAGGAGGCTCTCATTCAGACTGACACAACACCCCCCAGTTGGTTGGGTTAAATAAGGCATAAGTAAGGCAGGTCCCCAGGCCTGGGCTGTAAGCATTCATGCAGAGAAGCCAAGGAATGAGGAAAGAGAGCACATTAGCTTTCGTAATTTTTTCTGCTAATTAGCTATTTCTGGTTGCCTGAGATTGACAGTTTGAAAGGTTGTTTTCTTCACGTGTACCTACTATTGTGGTGACAGCCAGTAAGACAGATCTCACTATGCAAATGTCCCAATGTCTAAACAGGCTTTTGAGTTTCTCAGCTGTGACTTCATTGTAGTGACTCTTCAGTGGTCTATAGCTATACTACTATAATACTGTGGGTTCTTTTAGAGTTCTTTTAGAGTGGACACTGTCAACTGATTTCTTAATTATCAGCTAGCAAATACCAGACCTAATGATAACTAGAAAGAGCAAATTTCCCTCTTTTTCTTATCACTCATTATAGCTCACAACCTTCAGTAGCTTAAAAATGTTAAAGCTACTTTCACAATAACAATCATATACTGACTGCCTATTACATGCTGTGTTCTGAAAATAGGCATTTTAGCTATTTAAAGCATCTAGTACCACTAAGAGAAAGATACTATTATTCTTTTGCAGAAAAAGAAGCTGAAATGCAGAGAGAGACAGTAACTTGCTCAAAATACAGTCGATAAGGGATAATGGTAAGATTGGAACCCAGATAGGTCAGATTCTGAAACTTATCTTCCATTCTCTATAAGATATCAGTGTTTTGTCTACTAAGCCATCTCATCTCTAGGTGTGGCAAGAAGAAATCCAGATAATACTACATTTCGAATTTGACAGTTGTTTGGTATTGTAATAAAAAAGCAACCACATTTATTCCCACCTCTCAACTTCACACCCCACTGATTCATACTGGTAGAATTGAAGGTTACCAAGTAAAAGCCTTCTATTTCCAGTCTTCATTTTTCTTTTATGCCTAATAATTCTCTGCCTTGCTCAGTCCATGATGCTTCATCTCATTCCTGTTGTTCATGTCTCAGCATCTTTTCCTTCTTCCTTCTATACGTGAGGGCATTAAGCTGTGGGTTCTTTTATAGCTCAGTGCCATGCATAGGTTGAGGTTAAGAGGAAGGCTTGTAATGAGCTTTGAGGTGAACAGCTGATAGACTCAGCTAATAAATATGCCTTTCCAACATCAAGATAAAGGAAATGATTACTCTGCCCCTTTGATCAAGGAATATAAGTATAAAATTGTTCCCACAGGCAAATGCAAGTCACCCATAAAAGAATCCATTTTCTATTTTTTTTGTAGGAGCAATTTTGTTGAAAGTGTGGGTATAATCTGTAATCTAAAAGTATCCTTCTTTCATATTTGCAGTATTTGTCTATAATTTAGTACTTGATATTGATATTTATACAGTGGAACTGTCAAACCCTGTTGCCACACATATTTGGTTCACACAGATGTTTCTTTTATCATCCTCTTTCCAGTTTCAGTGATCCATTTGTGCCAAATGTGAAGAATTCTTTTGTATCCAACAAGCTATTTTAATAACTGATAGTACTCCTGAATCTATGAACATTAAAAAAGAAACTATCATTTCCTTTTCACACAAGAATGCCTTGCCAGGTCAAACTGCAACCTACGGAGTCCTCTACATCTTGCAGAGCTGAAAGACAGTAAGTCTAATACGTATGATGCTTGGTTGCTCTTGCATTTGGATGGCTAAAGGAAAAATATAAAAGGACCGTGTATCTTTCTTGTTTGTAGACTTCAAGGACCATGTTGATTCTACTGGTCAGAAAGTTATCAGGCAAAGGTCTTTGAATCATGAAAAGTTATAGAGCATCTGTCAGTGGGATCAGAAGTTCGTTAGTGATAAGACTAAAGCCAAGCCCCCAGAAGTTTCCACTCTAAATGTCCTACCTCAATTGCTTTGGTCCTTCAAAATTCTTAGGAATTGAAATTTCTCAGGTCCCTAAGTATTTCTTTTCCTTTTTCTCATCAAAAAACTTGTGAAGAATTTGGGTTCAAAAAAGATGATAACTGCCAACTATTAACTATAATTGAAAAAGTTCCAGGGTGTCTAATTTTCTGAGTGTTAGGTATTAGTCATTAAGGTTGTGTATAAACCCATGCAGATTTTTGTCAATGATTTCATTTGCACACCTCGATTAGTCAATTTTCCCATGCTGAGAGGGATGGGATGTAGCATGTATTCATACATGGAGATGTGCCAGCTGAGCACAGATTTTTATCAACTGCTTAACATTTCTCTGGTAAGACATCTAGGGTGAAATATGAAAATATACTAACAGTGTTTGAGAATGCCACTTAACTTGACTTAAATGTTTGGTTTTCTTAAAGTGACCACCAAGAAGTTCTATCATCAGGAAGAAAAGTGAAAAGAAAAGAAAAAAGGAAAAACATTTTCAGAAAACCATTAAAAAACAGAGCAAACCAATTGTTTAATAACATGAAAGGTTACATTCCTGGAAAGTATATTCTAAGAATTAAATGCATATTTATAATTCCAGCAGGAAGTAAGGAAAATTTGATCACCAAAGCAGAATAAAATTTCATGCCCCAGAGAGCATTAAAAAAATGACCACTAAGTAGACGAGGAAACATGTTTTGGGCTAGAAGACAAAAGCTACGTATAAAATAATACACCATCTGAACAGATTCAGAAATGCATTTGTGTGGAGCAATGAGTGAAAAGGGGAATGACGGTAGCAGCTGGGAGTGGTGTAAGGAAGTAGAATCTTACTGACCCCTTTAAAGATGAGAGACGTTCCAGATTTGATGGTTTCACCATTCAGATTCCCCCTCTCTGCACCATACACTTCAGGCCACAGATCAGGATGCAAATTCCCATTGAAATCATCTTTCAGAATTGAGGGGAGAGGAACAACAGGAACACAGTAGGGTCCACCAAAGCCCCGGTCACACCTAAGGAAAAAATGAGTGGAGAAAAGGCATCATTTGTCATGGGTTCACCATGCCAGGTTTCCTGTGGCATTGCAAAGAAAGAAAACTTCTGATTTGATTAACTTACACACAGCGTCCAGCATCACAGATCCCTCTTCCAGAGCACATCCAAGGGCACCCTGAGGCCAGTACAACATTATCAATAGCCCAGGAATCAGCACCCACGGTGTAGTTGGCCTGAATCCATCTGAACCGGGTCCTGGGAGAACTAACCAAAGAAAACACACCATTGATTTGACAAATAATTTCCAAAATATTTTTCATCGATGTGCCCTCTTCCAGGGTCCCACTCTTCTTTGAGGTAACTTATACTAAGTAGAAGATGCTGTTTCTTCTTGACCCATAAATAGGAGCAGAAAGCATGCTATTTAAATATTTTACCATTTCTTTCATATAAGAGTCTACAAATATATGTGTGAGATGGAAAAGTTATTTTGAACTATTGATCATTGTGTTTTTGAAATACATGCATATTTTACTTTCAGTGTTTTTTACTGCTACTCAATACTGGGAAAGAGATCAAAGTTTATAAACCTAAGGAAAAACTGGACTCTAAGGAAAAACTGGACTCTTAACAACATTCTGGCCGTGAGGTTCCTATTCCATTGTCCCTAAGTAGTTTCTGAGAGTAGATGAAGCCCTGTCATACTTCTGCCTTCTCTCTTGGTTCTCAGTGTTCTGGCTCTCTAGAACTGAGGACTAGGAGGGTGTGATATATTCCCACAGTCTCCACTGTGTTTGCAATCTGTTATCTGGAGTATACTAACAGTCCCTAGTGGAGGAACAGAGGAAGGGCAGAAGATTGCTAGTTATCTGGAATGTGGAATGAGGTCCACCTGAAGTTGAACCACTCAGGTACTACTGTTTCTCCACACCAGTTTTCTTTTAGTGCCACGTAGCTGTCAGCAAGGTGGCTTTACTATTATATTACTTTTATCATGTTACTATTCTGCTAAACCTCTGTCAATGGTTCTCCACCAAACACCTGCACACTCAAAGCCAAATACAGCTTCCCCAGCATCCACTCCCTCCCCAGGTCCAACCCATCTTTCCCAATTTCTTGTCTTAAAATTATATTCTGGCAACTGGATTTTGTTCTAGCTTACAACTGTTTGAATGCTCTCCTATGTGCTGTCACTTGAGTAGACCCTACTCACTCATACCCAGATGAGACAACAATTCCTCCAGGAAGCTCCTGCCAATACCATCAAGCTAAATCAGGTAGTATCCTCCTATGTTTCACTAATGTTTCCGAATATTACCTCTGTTATTATTTTATTTGTAAATAGATGTTTATAGACATCTGTTATCCTAAACAATATATTTGGATCCTGGCCTTAGCTTATTCTTTTAGTACCAAAGTACTTAAAATACAATCGATATCTAATACATGTTTGTTGGGTTAAAAAAAAAAAAAGAGCGAGGCATTACTTAAAACTCCAAGGGTCCACAGAGAACTATTTTAGGACAAAAGCTAATGTGTTTTGGTTTCCTATACTTTCCCTGTCATTTTGTTGTGCATCTATGAATCTCAGTTAAATCAGAAAAACAGACACCACTGTAAGCAGTTAACACCAAGAGAATTTAATGCAAAAAATTGGATGATGATGGCAGAGCTCAGATGTCCATAGCAGTGGTGAGAAAATCAGAGTTTAGCAAAGTTAGGAAGTCACTACAAGTGTAAAGCTGGAGGGACATAAGGAAGAGACATTTTTGCTGGTGCCCAGGCCCAGGATCACATGGCAGGGCATTTAGGAACCACAAAAGTTGGCAAGGATGCACTTGAGGGGTGGGGGAGTGTTTGTGAGGGGGAATGCCCTGATTTATCACTTATTTCCAGCCTCTCACCTCTTACCAGTGTCTGACAGTGTCTAAGCCTACCAGGAAGCCAGTGGATACAGGAGGCTGGAAGCTGCAAAAGCCAACTTTCTGCAGGAAAGGAGAGGCAAAGATCTAAGGGATAGGGATGGTCCCAGAATGGCACAGTTTCTAATCAGTCACTGCTGTACACATTAGTCCTAGAGAAAGATCCTCAAATAACCCAAATGCCTCCACAAGAAAAGTGGGTGCTATGCTAAGTCAATACGACTTTTGAATGTGATCTGAAATGTTGGGAATGGCAAGAGAGATGCAAGACAAGAAGAGCATTCAAAATATAAATACATAAAAATAAAAACAAACCCCAAACCCCACCTTCTATTTGTACTGTGGTCCTGAGATTAGAAAACCAAACCAAACCAAACCAAATCCAAACAAACCTAGAAGCTAAGGGTACTCTCTGATATGCAATAATTTCACATTGCTTAATGTGAGTAGGTATGTTTAGCTTATGGGTAGAGGCTTATTTTTACAACAGAATGAAAACTAAATCTGGTGGGAGCCCTCATGTTGCCAAGGAATAGAAAAATGCAGCCTTGTAAAACTTCTGGAACTCTAGGCAGTAAAAACTGCAATCCAAGGCGCCTTGTAGTTTTCTTCTTTCTGGCACACTGCATGCATAATTATCATGAAGAGTAATAGAGTCCCCAAGTAGAATCACAATTATTTTCAAATTAGGTGACAGAAACCTAAAGTTCTGACATGTAGCCAAATGACAATTCTCACTTGGTGGAGAGTGGAAGGTAGACAGTGATCCGCTTCCAATTCTGGAATCTTTCCGAGGTGTAAATTGAACTTTCTGTGTAGTGCAGACAGCCAATGGTTGGAGGAACACACTCTTCAGTGACAAGATGCCAGTCCCTGCCATTGTTCAGAGAATACTGGAGCTGTACACTGTGGGAGGCACTGAAGGGCTTGCTGCAGCCCATGCTCATTTCAAACTGCAAGAAGGTAGATGCTGACACATGAAAATCCCAGGTCTCAGCATAACGAGGTTTTCCTACCAAAATAAACAAATAAAAAAAGGCGGGGGGAGAGGTGAGGGGGGTGAAGTTGAATGGTAGCATTTAATTGTACTCTTACTTGTCATTTATGCCTACAATCAATATTTTCAATAGTAAACAAAAATCACACATCTTTAGTGCTTTGACTAGGACTTTGACTTTTCTTCACACATTTACTGTTTCTATATGGAAATATGGAAGTCTGCCGACTTGAAAAGTTTTACCATCTTAAAAGGAATGATAAAGAGTCAAGTTTATAATTTTGCAAATTATGAAACACAGGAATGCCATCATACAGATATGTTGGTCCTGCCTTTAAGAAATCTTTTTCCTATTATGTTCGCTGAAAGGCAGTTTTAACAAAAGAGTCACTGGGCTCACTAAGTTATTTCAGAGGACAATATTTTGATCCCACAAGAGCCTCCTTAAACAAAAGCAGTTAGGCACACAGTTTTATATTAGAGAATTACTTTTGAGTTTTAGCTACTTTAGTTCTCTATTTAATGAAATATCCTCTCTTATCTGGTGATAATATATACCTATGTTTTCAGTGAATATCAGAGCAGTATCCATAGAGAGACAGTCAATATCAACTTGACCTCCTTGGATTCGATACCAGTTGGCTTGCAAATCTATAGAGCCATCAAATTTGTCTTGAAATCCAGTTTGAGAGCTGTCATTCATTCCTATAAGGACATCATCCAAAGCCCACTGGGCTGAATGCTTCCCTGAAATCAGATGAATAAAGGCCATTGGAGAAAGTTCATTATAGAGCAATATGAATATCTTTGTGACCATGATTTTAAATCAAATTGTCTAGAAATTGACAGCAAATTAAGAAACACATAATATAAGATGGATATGGATGCTATACGATCTGAAAGCTACCATCAAAGTTGAGGTGAGCAATGACTTACCATGTTGTGGTTGCCACCATCGAAAAGCTGTTGCAGGTGTCTTTGCCTCCCGTGGCAGGTCAATGGAAATGATCTGTGGTTCCAGAAATGACATGAAGTCCAACTCTCGAAGCAAATGCCAGAGTATCCCATTGTCATTTGAATACTGAACAACAAGCCCTGAGTTATAAGACATAAATTCAGTTACTAGGACAGCTTTCTTAGAGGCAAGGAACAGTATTTTTTAAATGGCAAAACTGCAGCAACTTCAAATTGAATCTCATGGAATGAGAGCACATCCATCTAACATCCAAGGAATGAGTTAGTGGACCCGAAGGCTCATCAATTTCTTGACAGTTTCTAATGCACTGACTCCCAGTAAATGGAGACCAAAAATACATAAGCTCTTTTAAAGACCACTCAGCTTTGTATGAGTGATGAGCAGGTTGGTAAGGGGACCATAAAAACCCCCGCTCCAGATCATGTACTTGAATTTTAGATTTTGTCCTGAACATGACAAAGTCTCCTGTCATTATTATATACTCAGAAGAAATATCTCAATCTTCCTGGCACAAAATCAAGCGGCACTCTGCTGCCAAAGCATCGGGCAGTAAGCTCTGCCTAGTCTGGACTTCTAAGACTCTTTAACTAGAACTTTGCACTTGGCAGATCTCAATTAAAGAAGCTTGAATAGGGTCAAATGATTAAATAGTGAAGCAGAAATACTTCTCTCCAATGTGACCTGTGCTTTCCTTTCTCCTGTCACTCTTTTCCTCGATGCTTATCCTATCTACACATCTCCCTGTCTATAGCATGACACAATCTTGGCAATTAATGTGTAAGGACCTCATGTGCTACTTCTGCTGTTTCACACAGAAATATTTTTATTTATTTAGTTTTATTTTTTGGGGGGGGGGAATCAGGGATTAAACTCAGGGGCACTCAGCCACTGAGCCATAACCCCAGTATTTTATTTAGAAACAGAGTCTCACTGAGTTGCTTAGCACCTTGATGTTGCTGAGGCTGAGTTTGAACTCACAATCCTCCTGCCTCAGCCTCCAGAGCCACTGGGATTACCGGTATGCGCCACTACGCCTGGCTATCTTTACTTTTTATTAGTACATTATAGTTATGCATAATATTGGGGCTCATTTTGACACAGTCATACATCATGGAATATAATTTGCTTCACTTCAGTCTCCAGTACTTCCCCTAGCCCTCCCCCCAGTCCCCCCCCTTCCTCTACCCTGCTAGTCTTCTATTTATTTAGGTTTTATAATTAGTGCTTTATAGATATTCATAAAGCTGGAATTCACTATGGTATATTCCCATATATGTATATGGCACAATTTGGTCAATTTCAGACTATCAGGGAGGGAGGATTGTCTTTGGTCTCTCCTTTCAGAGATGACCCACTCTCTCCCCCTCCATCTTGAGAGTGCTTTTGTTCCTATAAACTTTGCCATTCTTTAACCATGAAAAAGATATTTGTGTAATTTAGCACCAGTTTTAGGAAAAAAAATAGATATGAAATATATGAAGGAGAGGGAGCAGAGGTCCTATCTAATTGCCTACTTTGCAGTTATTCCTAAAATAGGAACAGCTTTATTCATAATTATGACTGAGGACACTGAACTACTTGCTAATAATTTCATAATTCACATAAATTATGCTCAGTAAAAATATACTTGTTATATTTATTTTATTATATTCTGACTCTTGGAAAACTATAAATCATTTATGGTATCTGTAACATTTTAATTTCCCTATTATTGAGTGACTAGAACTTCTCCATCCCTTTATCATGTTAGATAATAAAAGTTCACTAAAATAAAGTTTCAAGAAATATTAGGATGAAAAATATAGCCAAATGAAAGCTGTTTAATGCTAATTAATAGCATATGGAATTATGGTTACCAGATCTGACAAGGAATAAAGCCAGAAATAATAATAAAGCATATGTATGCTAAAAATTAGAAACCTCAAAAGAATTAAATATACTATATTTCAAATAGAAGAACCTACCAAACAATGAGAGGATAAAAATGGCTTGAAGCACAGGGCCTCTTTGGGGAGACAGCTTGCTGTATACAGGTGTAGGGATAGGAGTTAGAGCTTTTCCATGTGTTGGGGAAGGGAATTTCATGAAGAAAATGGAATCTCAGCTGTTTCTAGTCTTTATTCTAGTCAAATTGAGGACTGTCTGGCAAAAGCTCTAGTCTCTAACCCTTAATGTTTGCTCAAATTATCTCCTATTGACTTTGTACTGTAAAGGATGGATAAGAGTGTAGACATGTCAAAATTTAGTTTTCTTGTGTCTACTAATTTGTATTATTATGGTTTATATTTAATACCATGAGAAAGATGAAGGTGTGTGTGTGTGTGTGTGTGTGTGTGTGTGTGTATCTATGAAGAGAAAGAGAATATTAAGATAGCTGTTTGAAGGTGACCTATTTAGAAGGTAGATCCAGAAATGAAGCATCATGAGAATAAAATCTCACTGACTGATCCTTCTCTTCCCTTCCACTCAAAGCACAATCCAAGATCAGGACCTGCATCACCTTGGAACAAGCCTTATCTGTGATGATTTATAAAATATGTCCAAAATTCTTTGACATTCCTCCCTTCAAAAAAAAATGAAGCTTAATTCTCTTCCCTTTGAGTTGGATGGATTTAGTAACTTGTTTCTAAAGAACAAAGTGTGGCAGGAGCCATGGAGTGTGACTTCTATGACTAGGTCATTATAGACACTGCATCTGGGGTGGGGGGCTGTAGCTCAGTGGTAGAGCACTTGCCTACCATGAGTGACACTTTGTTTGATCCCCCTCCTACCAAGAGTGTAAGTTTCTTCCTTGCTTTCTCTCAGGTGCCTTGCTCTGGAGAAAGCCAGTGAAGTAAGGCAACCTATGGACAGGTCTATACAGAGAAACTCTAAAGCCTCTTGCCAAAGCCAGAGAAGAACGGAAGCCTCTGCCAACAGCCATGTGAGTATGCCATCCTGGAAACAGACTACATCTCCAATGACTGCCCCCATCCTGGCCTTTGTCTTAACTGTAACCTCACAAGGGATCCTGAGCCAGGACTACTCAGCTAAGCTGTTCCCAACTTCCTGACTCACAGAAACTGTGAGACAACACATGTTTGTTGTTTGAAGCTACTCCATTTTAGGATAATTTGTTATGGAGCATACCACCCCAGTCCTACTCAATCAGAATTTGCATTTTAACACATGCAAATCCCAAATGATTTCAGGTGTACCGAAAGTAGGAGCTGCGTGGCTCAGAAGGTACGTCCTTCCCTTGGTCTCCGCTCCTTGCCCTCTCCTCACTAGCTTCTTCAGGAGAGTCACATATACCTTCCGGCAGCAACAAGATCTACAGGGATGAAACCTCAATTCCAGAGGACAATGAAGAAGTGCCTCCCAGAGAAGTAAGAGAGTGTGGAGGAATGGAAGAGGGGAAGCAATATCCATATTTGGTATCAGTTGCTCAGCCTCATTAGCTGTGTCATCTAACACATTGTACGTCTGAATAAACCAAGCCATTTTAGCTCATCTACTGAATGTTTAAGGCATGTAAAACATTTCTCTTTTTAAACTACAACTCCATCTGCATTCTGCCGAGCCTTATGGAAAACAGCCTAATTTTGACTTTAATTCCAAATATGTAAATTGATGCTTCAGCTTGAGTAAGTAAAGAATCTTCACTTTCATCACTGGAAGAGATTTGTTCAAGGATTTAGGCAGATTTACATGTTAACAACCAGCTTTCAATAAAAGGCTGAGAAATGCCTGTGGGATGTGAATTACATGGCCCATATTGAGTCTAAGAAAATGGTTCAGGACTAGCTGGGAACAAGTTACTTCTTCCTAAAGGGATCCTAAGGGGAATTTGCCCCACAGGGTAGACAATGGCACTTGTAATCAGAAGTTAAGTATAGAGCAGAGCATCATGTCCATGATAAGCAGATGCTTCCTACTGGGCTAGGTTCAGGGTCTTTCTTTTTCTTTCTGCTTTTTTGCTTATATAAAAACCAGGGTACAAATATGAAATTTTCATAAGAGCCATGCATGTAAACTTCCCTTAGATTTCAATTTATTAAATGTCACTTCCTTGGTAAGTCATACCTGGACTATTCTACCTAAATTGGTACCTCACCTGGTATTGTTTACTTTCTAGCTCAACCGGTTTCCGTCTAACTCCTATCAGCTAACAGTTTCTGACTTATTTCTTTTCTTTATTGTTTGTGATCTGACTCCTTCCACTAGATTTTAAGTTCCTTGAAGGTGGTCATTAGTATTACCCTGGCTGCTCCTGACCCAAGGTAGGTTTGTGCTTTCTTCTCTTCCCCTTCACTAACATGGCTGACAACATTCAGAATCTACCCAGTAGATGCTTCACGATCTTGTGAGCTGGGATGAGGACCTCGGATGACCCATGAAGAAAATGTAGCACAAGGAAAAAACCCTTGTTTTAACCCATATGTAGGTAGAGGGTTTTTATTCTAGCAGAGCCTGGCTCATCATGACTGATGCATCTATGTTTCGGTGACACTGTATCTGCAGCACCTAGAACAGTGTCTGGCTTAGAATGGATTCTCAATAAATATCTGTAGAAGAAATCAAAGAATGCAAATGTTCTATACAAATTTCCAGATTGCTACTTTAGTAGATAGATGATTTGGATAATCACTAGACTAAAGTACTGAGATGCTCAGAAGTCATTAAAGCCTTCAGTTACTGGAAATTTTGAGTTGATGAACAGCACTCTTAGTGGTTCTGCTAACAGGTGCTGTTTAAGTCAGTATGTTTTACACAGTCACGCCTGACATAATAACATACTTAGATAATAATCCTGTAAAACTCTCCACATGTTGTTTCTGAGGCCACCGTGTTGAGAAGGACCCATCTGAGAAATCCATGGAGTTTTAGGAACCACCTCATATTCTGGGTTCCTGAAAGAATCCCATTCTATCTGCAGAGCTTCAAGGCTTTGCATTTCTTTCAGAACTGAGTCTTTTGGGGGCAGAAGATGGTAAGATGCCTAGTGAGGATTCAGGGTAGGGAGAGAGGAAGTATAGTATGATGGTTAAGGTGTACATTGGGGAGCTGATATGAGTGGTTTGAATCTTTGTTCATCCACTTACTAAATGCATGGTTGTGGGTAAGTTACTTGACCTCTCTGTGTCTCCGTGTCTACATCTGTAAAATAGGATTAATAATGGTACTAGGGACAGCAAAGGAATACCATGGAGATGAAACAAATTAACACCAGTAAAAGACTCAGACACAGTGCCTTGCATGTAATAGGTGCTCAGTAAAAGTTAATGTTCTGTAGTTATATAGACATTAAGAAAAATTAATTAATACATTTTTAATAAAAGTTAATATCTATAGAACTGTTCCTCTCACATAAGGATTCCTACAGGATTTTGAGGAGCAAAAGTAGAGTTCAATCTGTATTCAATAAAAAGTATGTCAACATGAACCTAAATGTTATATATAAATAAAAAGAACCAATAAAAAGGAAAAAAATTATAAAAATTGAAAATTAAAGAAAACAAAAAATAATAATAATGCCCTATGCCAACAAGTTTTAGTCCTCACACTGACTGCAAAAGTCTATGCAATTACTTCCTTTTCGCCCCTCCAAGTGGAGACTTATAATGAAATTGAGCTCTCTAAAACAAATGACCTTTGACCCTACCTGCACTCAGAGCAGTCATGGTATTTTTCAGGCCTAAGGATCTGTATAAAACATTTGAACTATGACTCTGTGTTGTCACCCTTTCCATTAAGGATAAAAGAAGGCAAGACATGATTCAGGGTAATGTATCAGTTTGTATAATCCAGACCAAATTTTGGGTAGAAAAGGGGCTAATTTGCCTATATAAACTGTCATTTCTATGGAAATATACCCACTTACCTTCATTTCTAGCCCTTGGTTTGATGCAGGTAATACCTGAAGTTTTGCTTCCAATTTGTATATAAAACTGAACAAGCCTGGAGAAGGAGAAGGGAAAGAAAAAAAAAACACCCCTCAGTTTACTTACACATAGGTGAATTCTTAGAAGAGGTTTAACCCTTTATATTTTGACATAGAAAGAAAAAACTCTGTAATTCTTAAGTATTACTTTTAAGCCTAAGGAACACATGACAGGCAAAAATAAGTACATATCTTAATAAGTTAACTCTGTAATTATTTAGATGAAGTTAATTAATAGTTAAGTTATAATGATCTAAAAAAAAAGAAATAAAACAATTTAATCCCCTTTCATTGTGATGGTCTGATATACTCTAATGGGAAATTTCTTAAATCTAGACAATACCATTTCTGGACATTCAAATGAGAGAGAGGCAAAAAAAAAAAAAAAAAAAAGATCTAATACTAAGAAGTTGAACACTATATTTGTTTAGGGCCAGATAATTATCTATTATTGATTTAGACTCAGTTGGCTGAATTTTTCACAACTGAATCTCACTCAATGTTATGTAAATTCTGACTCTGTCCATGGCAATCAGAGGAGACTATCTGCTTGACACAAGTACAGCTTTGAGAGAAGAATATGGAAGGACATGTAAAGAGACTGAAGTCAGCAAACCACATTAAAGGGAAACCCAGGTTTAAGTGTCCTTTCTACCTGTTCTCTAATAATTTAATGGATGGAAAAGAGCAGAATTTTTTTTTTTTAGGTGTGCTACTATTACTTCTTTCGACCTTAAAAACCAAACAGTTCTCTATACTACCAGTAGGTGTCAGTGTAGGTATTTTAAATTTCTGGGGTAGTTTTCAATAAGTGATGATGAATAAATTTAGATAAAATGAGGATCATTTTCAGACATGGAATTTAAAGTTGAAAAAAATCTTTGTTTCAACAGCACATACAAGTATAATATCAAGGACTTTTTTTATAATTACAAATAACTTTAGAAACCAAGTTAAATATACACTAGGTGTATAAGCTTCGGTGATTCCTGTATGCTGATTGATAAATTATGGTATGACTTTTGTAGTACACATCTATTTAATTATTGAGCTAAGGCTATGCTTCAATTTTACATAGTATAATCTGTATATAGAACCATTAATCTGTACATAGAAATTGATATAAAATATCAATTCTCCATAGTAAAACAGAATGTTTTAGGTTGGCCACATGGTGTGGTCGATACTATGTTCATGGAGAAGTATACCAACTAATAACTTACCTGATATTTCTGGTGTCCAGAGGGACAGTTCTTGCCTCCCTTTTCCCAGGGCCATTAAAGTAAAGAGACTTGCCATCATTAAGGGTTCCGCAGCCAGTTCCAACCTGGCCACCAGTTATCTTGTACCACAGAGGGTTGAGCTTCCCCTCAAACCTATCAAACATCTCGCTGTAATTAGGGATATTTGACACACAGGTTCCTTGTGCAGCTTCAGAGGAAAAAAAAACACATAGGAGCTTTGTTGGAATCACTAAGCATTAAAAGGTATATTCAGTACATGGACAAAGAATTTCCACAGGTGTTAGGAGAAAGAAGCTACATAGAAATTTGTATCTTACAATGATCTGCCTGAAAGACAAACATCACTACTATCATCAAAAATTCTATTCTGAACCAGATATATGATAACTTATGATATAATGGTGTATTAAGAATTGTAATGCAAAAATAAATAAATTTTTAAAAAGTTCTATTCTGGGGCTGGGGTTGTAGCTCAGTGGTAGGGCACTTGCCTACCACGCATGAGGCATTGGATCTGATCCTCAGCACCACATAAAACTAAATAAATAAAATAAAAGTATTGTGTCCATTTACAACTAAAAAATAAAAATAAACACTATTCTGCTTCTGTATTTTTATATTTTTTAAAATAATGATAGACTTTGGGAATGATGCGTCTCCACAGTTCTTGCTAACCAGTGGATCTGTGTAAACTGAGAAGTAGATTTTGTCCATAGTTAAATTTATTCATTTGTTGTCCTTCTATTACAGGATCAACAAGGGGAGTTAGTCCTGGACTAAATAAAAAAAATACCACCCTCTGAAACTATAAATGACAGCACTCTCCACAGAAGGCCTGCAACAGCGAGTCTGCCTTTGGTTATGTGCCAGAGGCAGCCAGAGCACAACAAGCTGAGAAGGAGGCTTTGAAGTTGCTCCCAGGAAAAATTCAGAAATTATTTTGAAGCTTATAATGTTTTCTTCAGTTTTACTCTTTAATCTCAGTTCCCTTTTCATTTTTGCTTATAGTAACATTCAAAGGTGACTGTGGTTAGAAAATACTTCTTTTGCAATGCTTTCTTTGGGCAGTCTTCCATTTATTATAAGTTGTATTTTTGCTTTAAATGCATACAATTATACTTCTTTTTTAAAATTTACTTTTTAGTTGTAGTTGGACACAATACCTTTATTTTTATGTGGTGCTGAGGATCGAACCCAGGGCCTCGCACGTGCTAGGTGAGCGCTCTACTGCTGAGCCCCAGCCCCAGCCCCTACAATTATATTTCTTTTCAAACAAAAGTAATGTAAAGGGCGCAGGGAGACCCTGCAGCCAAGTGGTTAAGAGCCTATGTTTAGGTTTTGGAGAATGACTGCCAGAGTTTGAAGCCCAACTCTAGCAACTCCTAGCTGTGTGACCTGAAGAAATTTATAGTCTCTCTGTACCTCAGTTTCCTCAAATGTAAGTAGATTTTATAGTACTATGGCACAGGGGTTATGTTAGAATTAAATGAGGTGAAATAAAAAGCACTTACTTCAGTGCTTAGGATGAAGAAGGGTCCCAAGCAATGTTCATTATGGTTGCTATTAATAATAAATCTCTAGGGAGTTAAATTTGTGACATCATATTTTCTTCCTTAAGCAGCTTGAAACTACAAAATATATTTTTTATTTAAATTTTTTTTAGTTATTTGTGGACACAATACCTTTATTTCATTTTATTTTATTTTTATGTGGTACTGAGGATTGAACCCAGTGCCTCACACTTGCAAGGCAAGTGCTCTACCATTGAGCTACAACCTCAGCTTTACAAAATATCTTTACCTCATGTTCCTAAATGGCAAAATCTTACAATTCTTAGACTTAAAGAAGAATAAACTCAGCATTTACTTCTTTGAAAGAATCACATGAAATTATTGACTAGAGACGAACATTATACAAGCAAACCATTAAACTCATGTATTTGGCCTTACCAGTGTACCCCAGGTCACAGAAACACACGCCTGAGATGCAGTCCCCATGGCCACTGCAGTAACTGGGACAAGGCTCAGATATGTACACTCCATCTAAGCCAAACGGAGGCACGTTCTTCTGTGAGCTGCTCTCCTGGATCCACCGAAATCTGGTTTTGCTGTTGGGAGAAAAAAACTCACATCTGTTTCCTCACACACAGCCTTGGGATATAGACAGTTCAGGAAAACTCAAGAGAGATTTAATATTTATTTCAATGTCATGCGTGTTCTACCCCATGTGTAACCTTCATAAATTGTCTCTCCGAGATCTTTCTCACAATTTCTTGATTTTTTTCCAGCATAAATGTTTCAATACCAAGAGGATATTATTATTATTTTTTTACATAAAATTTTTGATGGCCAGAAATATCATAGGTTTTTATCTGCATAATTTTCCATCCTAGGTTCTTTAAGTAATTAATAAAAACCAGAGTGAATCCTTTCTTTTCTTTTACTTAATATTTCACCCTTCCATCACCCTACTTTTATGGATATTATGGATTTGGTATTTTCAGAAAAGGTTACTTGGGAGTTTTTGAAACCTTCAAATACAATGTTCTTCTTTTGTTGGGACATAGAAGAGGACTCTGGCCATTGACCATTGAAATGATTCAGGTAGAGAAGAGTTAAGTTTATAATGACAGCTCTCCAACCATCTCTGCTTCCTTCTTTTACTCCTCATGTTTATTCCATGAACTCTTAACAACCAGCTGGGCTGCCAATCAACACTGGTACTGCCTATGAACAAAAAAGGGACCTAGTTCCAAGACTTCAAAATCCTACAAACCAGGAGGCGAGGAAGCTGCTCAGTCTTTTTCTCCCCCAGTACAGTAGTTCTGGCCAGAACTGGGGAAGCAACCCTGTTTGCAGATCCTAAGGTTCCTACCAATTCAAGAAACAGAACACACTCTGAGGTATTTTGAGAAGGTAAAAGATCTCTCAGGAGTACAGTATTACAGAATCCATATTAACAAAACAAAACTGAACCAAGCTCTGTCTTTAGTGGACTAATCATTTGATTAAGTAGGTTAGTCCAGGACATGATGAATCATAATTGGGAGTTCTTGATGGAAGACTTTTTCAGAATGAAGAAAAACAGATGGATCTTCTTTTACTTCTTCTAGTCTTTGCTACTTGGCCTTTAGTTGGATGGTGCAAATCAAATCAACAAAACTTCCACTAGCCACAAGGTAAGCAAGTTTTGCTTCATTTCCATCTCTTTAAGTTGCGCCTGGTTCCTGATGCCTGCTGCTACTTTGTTCTTATCTCAGTGTCATGCCACACAAGTAATTCAGCAACCTCAGACTTGCTAGCATAAGAATGGGTAAAGAACTCATTAAAGGGCTAGGGTTGTAGCTTGGCAGTAGAGTGCTCACCTAGCATGTGAACTGGGTTCGATTCTCAGCACCACATATACAATAAAATAAAGGTCCATTCAATAACTAAAAAAATTAAAAAAAAATACTCATTAAAAACTAGTCAGAGACAGACCATCTGAAGAAGCAAGGAAGTAAGTAGGCCAAAGCTAAGCTAATAAGAATGTCTAGATTCCATATTTTAAATTAGAGGAGATACAGCCTTGAAATTATTAATATTTTTTAAAAAAATTTTTTTTAGTTGTAGATGGACATAACTTTATTTATTTATTTGTTTATATGTGGTGCTGAGAATGGAACCCAGTGCGTCACATGTGCTAGGCAAGCGCTCTACCACTGAGCCACACCCCAGCCCCAAATTATTAATATTATTAATGTTATTTGGGTGCATGTACCTTTCTTGATTTTTCAAGGAGACACAGTAGAATATAGAACCATGATCTCCTGTTAAACAGCATTAACTTATTTTGGAGAGCCACACAAAGAAACAAAGGAGTCTTCCTTGTAGTTAATTGCCTATCTCTGATCATTATGTTCATTCAACATTCTTCATTAAACCAACATCTATCGAGTGCCTGCCACATGCCAGGCATTGTGCTGGGGTTAAGCATACCAAGGGAAGCAACATCCAGACTTGCTTCCTGCCTGTGAGTGGCTCACAGTCGAGGGAGAAGACACACTTATCAAGCACTTAAACAAAAATATGAACATCTGTAATACGGATAACCACTGCTAAGAAGAACAGAGTTAGGAGAGCATGCAGGAGAGATCTTTGATTTGCTAGTCTGGAAGTGGGTTGGAAGTGATCTGGAGGAAGTAATGACTCAGGAGAAAGAGTTTAACTTATGTAATTATGTAAATATGCAAGTAAACCATAGTGTGGTTTGAATTATTGAAATCACTAAACAAAACTTTCCCTTTGTTTTTCCTGTTTCAGATAAGCAAGAAGGGTCTATATTTTTGTCCCATTCTCTAGTTTTCACCTTTGTCTGGAGGATGCCTGCATGAACAGGAGAACTGGTTTCACCCTTCCACCACCACACAGCTCAGAGATGTTGCCTCTACATCTCCAAACTAGGAAGATTCCTGTGTACCTGATGTTCTGTGCAGAGATGCACATGGGGTGGGTAGTGAAGACATTCTTTTTAAAAATTTTTTTTATTTTAATTTTTTAGTTGTCGATAGACCTTTATTTTTTTAATTTATATGTGGTGCTGAGGATTGAACCTTGTGCCTCACACATGTGAGGCAAGTGCGCTACCGCTGAGCCCCAGCCCCAGCCCTGAGACTTTCTTTAGAATACTAAGCAATGGTGTCAAGACACATTCATGGACTATGTGTGGACCAAACTGGCATCACAGCCAATGAATAGGAAAATCTGGTATCAGAGAACTTCCAGTGGGAATCCTACTGGTTAAGACCACACAATTTCATGTGAATTTCTTTTTTTTTAAATGTTTAAAATAATTCCATGTGAATTTCTATTCAGTTCTGCCATGTTCTACACAGCACTAGAGACGGGGTGACCTGCTGTAGCCACTCAGCCTCTCAGAGATGGGTATAACCTGCCAAGATGCCAATCACCCTGTTGACTGCAAGACATCATGAAGCAAGACTCCACCCCTAAACCTTATGCTTGCCTTTGATATACCCCCTTAAATAAAACTACCAGAGCCATTTTAGTTGTTCAACTCCAGCGCCTATATGGGCTGGACCTAACAGGCACTCCAAGCTTCTTAAAACTATAATTCTGACTTTGTCTTTTTTCTTTACTAATTATTTTAGACTTTATTTTCCCAGGTGGTTTATCCCCTCCTAATCAGGAAAAATTACCCTGGCAAGGTGCTGGCCACCTTGTGATATGCAGACACCTGTTTCAGAGCAGACTTGCAAGCATACAGTCTGGATGGGGAGGCCTCTGAGATCTGGGAGAGACCTATCAACACCAGTGTCCCTCCTCTGTAGGCAAGAACTAAGTGAACTAATAGAAGCACAAAGGGCTCCTTTGAGAAAATTGGCTTAGATTATTTCTGAAAGAGCAATGTTCTGGTAACTATTATAAGCATGTTGCCTCATGGCAAAATAGCTCCAATTTTAACACTTAGAATTCTCAGCTTTTGAACACTGCGTTTGGAGATATCTGAGTTTAACATATTGCAGAAGGAACAACAACAGCTCATTTACTTGGGGTAAAGTAGAAACATATTTACTATTCTTTAGCAGAGGGCTCTTCATCACAAGTGCCATCAACCAGCAAGCTGGATAGTATCCAAATTAAGCAGGAAGAAGCTGGATTCTAATGGAGAAGATTTATTCTTCTAAAAACTGAAGTCCAACAAAATACTGATATATTGGGAGCCTCAAATTATTGGCTCATTTTGTGATGCTAAAGATGATCTTTTCTTACTTCTCACATGTAGCTTTACCAATTGGGTTATTCCACCCAACATCAAACCAACTGTAGTTACAGCTTCAGCTCCATATTTCTGGGTTTAGAGAAATCAAGCCAGATTGGTGTTCCTTGGCTCCTGTTTGTAATTATCTGCCGTTACAGTGATGTCTCCCAGCACCATGATATTATTGTTGTAGCAAAGATGTACCACTTGATGTTCCTTAGTTACACCTCTCTTGGGAAGAGCTGTGGTTAGGCCATGGTTTCAGAAATCATGGGGAGAGGAAGGCAAAGGCGGCACTGTTATGGGCACAGCTTGTGATGGGCAAGAAGCTGGATGAGATCCCTATTTAGCAGAAAACACAGACAGGTTTTTATGGAAAAGGAAAGGTGGTTCAGAGGATGAAGCCCAGAAGGTAGAAGCAACAGCTGAGAAGAACAATGAATTAGAGATTTGTCTTAATGAAAGAAATTTTCCTATCCTAGGCCTGGCTCTGAGAGGAGGGAGTCCTACTCACAAACCACTTGTTGGCTTTCTGAATTCCTATGGCCCAGTGACTGCTGTGTGCCTCAGATCTCCACCTTCGCTTTTTAGTGTGTTTTTCTTTGTTTGCTTGTTTTTATTTTTTTTGAACAGTTATCCTGTCATTATAACTTGACTTTACAGGTTGGTATAGATCAAAATATTTGGGAGTACGTGACACTGTGATGGGCTAAGACCTTGGGGGGTCTTGGAGGATAATGAATGTGTTGTGCATGTGGGAGAGATTTGAGTGAACAGAGGTAGGACAGATGATGTTAGATTGTAACCATAATGATCTCCCCCAATTAATCACACCTCCGTTTGTACATGTTTCTCTGTAATGTGACTTTTATGTACTTCCTATCAAAAAAGAGGAGTCTATTTCCCAACCTTCTGCATGTTGACTTGTTTTGTAAATTTCTTTGACTGGCAAGATGTGGCAAATTAGATGATTTCTTGGGACTCAGGAACCACCTAACTGAAAAATACTGGGAAGAAGACCACAAAGGAAGGAAGGTTCGGCTGTTCCTAGACACTGACTCATCAACTGAATGCAGCTACATGAAGGAGGCCGGGAGAGAGACAAGTAGACCTGCCCAGGCAACCCCACAAACCAACAGAGATAATAAATCATTGCTTTTTTAAGTCACTAAGCTTTGTAGAGGTGTGTTGCCTGACAATAAATAACAGCACAATATTATCCTAGGCTCAGCTAAGGAATATAGACAAAGAGTAAGGCTGAATTCTGAAAATAATAATGTATCTCTGCATCCTTGACTCTCTTTTCCTTTCAATGGTTAGGAGATGACAAAATCTGGAAAGGCTGCCTCGGTTCCAAAGATGGAAGTCATATGCTCAGGATGTCAGAGTCAACCTGTCAACTCTGAACTGCTCATCTTTGGACCATGATATAAGAAAGAATGAACTACTTTGTTTAAATCTTGCTAAGCATCTGTGTTTGTGAGTTTCTGTGTTACAGTCGTTGGCCAGATCTGTATTTTAACTAAAGCAGACTACCAAATTCTTAATTTCATTAAAAAAGGTAGACTCATCAACCCTGCTACCTGAACATCAAAGACCTAAAGCATTTCAGTCTCACTTTGATAAACTACAAAGAACACTGACATATGAAGATAAAAATTACTTATAAGTTGACTTGGATCCACTGATTGAAATAGCTAAATGGCTATGTCTTGAAATAGATGGTGTTTAAAGATTATGTTTCAAGGTTTATCAGGCTAGCACAGAAACTTTTACATCTTTAACCAAATCAGTGCCTTTCTTTTTCAGGAAGTGTTCCTACATGAACATTGAAGGTGTCATTTTTTTAGGTATGAATGCCTAAGTAATGATGGAGGCAGAGACTACAGCCAGCTTCTCTAGCTGAATGATGCATAACAAATTTTCTGATCAATTAGGTGAAAGATTTCACAGACAGAATAGTCTCTAAAATTTTTATGAATAAGCCACTTATTCATAAAATTGCTAAGCATCTGCCATTATATCAGTCAGGGTGAAATGGTTACTGTGGTAACCAACAACTCCCAATCTTGTAGTTTAAACCAACAAAAGTTGATTTCTTGCATGTCCAGTGTAAGTTGGCAAGGAAGTCTGGTTATTGTAGATATTCAGGGACCCAGAGTGATGCAGGCTTTGTTTCAGTGATGCTTCTATGAAGCAGGGACATAGAAAAATGCACATGAGCTCTTAAAGTCAGGTTTCATGTCCATTCACGTTTCATTAGGCCATGAAAAACTTCAAAGCTGTGGGGGAAAGTATAACCCTACCTTGTTCCAGGAAGGAAGAAAGTTGGAAATATTTCTTAATTACCCTACTGAGTATCCCAACCACATGCTGCATCATCAGGAAGCAGTGCAAACAGACTTTTTATATCATCTCAGCTCTGAACCCAGCTGCCTTGACTAAGTTACAGTTAAGGTTACATTCCAGAATTCAATTAAGTGTCGACTTGGGCTGGGGCTGTAGTTCAGGGCAGAGCGCTTGCCTTGCATATGTGAGGCACTGGGTTCGATCCTCAGCATCACATACAAATAAACAAATAAAATAAAGACATGCTGTCCATCTACAACTACAAAAAATAAAATAGAAAAAGAAGTGTTCACTTGAAGAATGTTTCTTTCTTTCTTTTTTAAATGATAGAGTTAAAGATAACCATCTTTGTGGAACCTATGCCATCTGGTACAAAGATGCTATGAATTAATTCTAGAATACTGAACCTGGAAAAAAGTGCATTTTAAAAATTGGAATATTTCTATTTTCCTTTTTTTTTACTTAACAATGAGAACTAAATTGTGCTATATTTTCCCCCTTTGTTCTAGCTTCCAGGAAGCTAAGAGTTCAAATTGTTGCCCTATTAATGAAACAGGTTCACTTCCAATTCCCTCATCAATTGTTTTACTCTTTCTCTCTATTGTCTTATTATTTGTTTTAATGGTCATTTAAAGGGGTTGTTTATTTTGCAAGATACCTCAACTTGTCCTCGAAAGGAGACACTAAATCACTAAAAATCTACAAATGGCAAAAGCCTGATGTAATGATGCCTGACAGCTCTTTTTAGACTTCAACGGCTTTTGTTCACTGCTGTCTACTCAATGCCCTGAACAGTACTTGGCACAGGCAGGTGTGCACTAAATCTTTGTTGAATGAATTAATGGGAAAGTGAGCAAATCCGTCTCAATTACAAGTATGTGTGAGCATATGTGTAGCACATGCGCATGCGTGTGCGCGCGCGCACACACACACACACACACACACACTCATTTCCACCTATTTTGGAAATTTTGTCCTAGAGTTCTTTACCTTATGAGTCATTACTTGAAGAGAAACAGACATATTATATAAATTTTTCCAAGTTATTGAAATTATTGAAATGTAGCTATTGAGATAAATAAATGTTCCCATGAAATGGTAGCTGTGGTACATAATAAGAAAGATTACCTTACCTGGCTGCAAGAATCCTTGGAATAACAATGGTGATTCTTGTCCACTCTTCAAAGTCCCCTGTATGATACATGGTGGGCTCACTCAGTTCCCTGGAGCTCCCTTCGCATCCTTTGCCTGCAGAAGCTGGGAAACAGCCTTCTTTCACCAGAAACCAGGACATTCCAGCATCATGAGAGTACTGAAGAAGAACTGGGGCAGTATTGCTGAACTGATTGGCACATCCTATGTTTAGCTGTTAAAAAGGACAGAATTACACAAGGTTTTGGTTCCAAGACGTCATCCAACAAATTAGGCACTACAGCAGCCAGAGCCCTTTCTACTCAGTCTGCATGAAATCACAATGTCAAGACTGTGCAGCTCAATCCCAACCAAAGCCCTACCATAAATTCTGGGATTTGTTGGTGGATGCAATCAGCAAGTACTTTTTAGCAGAAAGCTGAACAAGCTACCTACTTTATGGGTTTCTTGGGACTATGAAAAAGAAGAAAAATGTATAATGTCTATGTTTCTGAAATTGCGTCCTTCTCCCTCTTGGTATAAAAAGGGAAAGCAGAAGATGGAGAAGCAGGTGTTTTTCTCAGAGCAGGAAGAGAAGGCTGGGTTCTCTGCTTTCCACAGAACCAAAATCTTTATTCTGTTTTTTTTTTTTTGCCAAAACTTACTAAGAAATCAGAATCAGCTTAGATGAAAGTGCTAAATTTTTGCTACAGCAAAAATTTAGCAACATAATTAAGAAAAAGAACTATTATCATTCTGTCCTTGAGTAGAGACTGTCATAGGATTCATAATAATGAAAAAAATTGTAAAAAAATGCAACCTAAATCCTATTGCTTAGCATATTGTTTTTATTTTTCTGTTTTCCTTTCTTCTTTTTATATGGGAGTATATATTTTGGACATGTCGTTGAGGCTATCACATTTCTAGAACTTTCCTCCTATTTTCTATTTAACATTACTTTATTATCTTATGCAACATAGCAATGAATATATCTTTTCCTTTTCAGTTGATTTTTTATCACCAAATAAATCCCTAGGAATGGTATTACTGAGTCAAATTTAGAAACACGTTTTACATTTTCTAATTATAGATGTTCATTTAGTATCAGTTTGGTTCAAATAGATCAGTTTTACCACAGCACTGGGTATTATATCAGCTTAAGATAGTTTCTTTCTAAACTAATACATACATAAATGAATTTTAATACTGTTTTAGTTTTCAGTTTTGATAGCTATAACTTTCAGACATTCCCCCTATTTATTTAATTATTGGTGTCTTGGGTGAATGGTCTGTTTAGATCTTATTCACATTTTTGACTGGAGCTTTGATGGGAGACTTTAAAAATAAGAATAGTCTAATTACAAGAAAAATTGCAGTAAGGAACCAAAAGAACATGGTTGTGACCAAAGACTAAAGGAAGACATAAAGGTAGAAAGGGCCAGAGACACATAAAAATGGAGGTTGGAGTTCATGAGATAAATCAGTTATCCTTGTGACTGTAGGGTAGCTTTATCTAGTCTTAAGTCTGTATTTTCCTCATTTCCAAACTCAGAGCTAGAAAAAAAAATCTCTCAGAAGGATTTATACCTTTGACTGCTAGGAATTTAAATGTGACTCATTTATTTAAGTTTATGTAGAAAATGTCAAGAATATAATTAACGGTTTGCACTCTCAAATGCATGATAAAGATCTTCTAAGGACTGGGGTTGTGGCTTAGGGGTAGAGCGCTTGCCTACCATGCATGAGACACTAGGTTCTATCCCCGGCACCACATAAAAATAAGAACAAATAAAATAAATGTATTGTGTCCATCTACAACTAAAAGGAAAAAAAGTGTTTTAAAAAAGATCTTCTAGCAGAAATTTGTTTTATTGTACTACTCACTAGTAAGAATAGCCTTTGGCTGGCACCTGGTGATGGCAGCCTCATTGGGCACACAAAGTTAGCTTTTTCTCTTGAATTTTTATGACTGCTATTATTTCTAAGGTAAGCAAGTTGTTGGATCTTTTAGTTCATTGACAAGTTTGTGATTAGAAATCAGGCAATGAAGTGATACAGACACACTCTGAGTTGTATTAAATATATAATTCAACTTAGACTTTGCATTCAGGATCCATTTGTATATACATCTAGCAAATATTTACTGGAGAACCTGCTAAATATAATCTATACATGCTTATGTCTCTCCTACTTTAAAAAGCAAAGCAAAAGAAAATGAAAATTCTTAATGATTTTTGGGTCTGCCTGTAACTACACAGTTAAACATATTGAGATAAAGGCCATATTTGCTGCATAAATTCCTGCATAAATTCCTCAACATTTTTCAATCCATTATAAACTGATTTTTGTTGTTACCATTGCAATGAATTACCAAGGAAACCCCATCAAACTAAATCTGATGGAAAAATTTAATCCTTATTTTACAGATTATTTTGTTCCTTCTGACACTGTTGACCATCTTTTTTTTTTTAATTGACCACATAGCCTGACTTTCTAATGCTGCTGTTTTGTAGGATTCAGTTCTTGTTTTTCTTACATTCTAATTCTGTGCATGCTTTCAATCTCATTCATAAGCATAACTCTGAGTGCCTTCTGAATGTCCCTGACTCCCAGCTATGATCTATCACCCAGTAGGTCACCAAAACCTGCTGACTATTCCCTTAACATCTCTCAGACCTATGTACTTATCTTTTTAACTCAAGATATGCTTTAACCTGACCTAATTTATCACTACAGCTCTACATTGTTTCTTTACTCAAATATGTTTGAAAAGTTGATCACTTTTCTCTGTCTCTTCCACTGCTGGGCAGGGCCTGTTCCTACCAATTCTTAGTTGGATCACTGCAATAGCTGCCCCAGGGTATCTCTGCTATAGTCCTTGCCTCTGCTAGCAGATTTCCAGCACAGTGATTATTTAAAATCCCAAGTCAGTGCATGTCATCCTTTAGCTGGACACTTTATTCAGAACAGAGGCCCAAGTCTGACCTGACATTTTTTTTACACTCTATTCACTTCTCTGTTGTAGTCATGATGGCATCCTTGTGGTTTCTAAAACGTTCCCAAAAAACACTCCCACTTCAAGACCTGGTACTTTTTATTTCATGTGCCTGCAGAGATCTTCCCTGTGTAGCTGCATGACTCACTCCTTGAATTTTTATAGGTTATAGTTTAACTAGCATTTTACTAGAGATCAACCTGACAATCCTTTATATAGTGGTTACTGCTCTCCATCACCCAACCCTGTACTCTCTATTTTGTATTTATTCATAGCCTACAACAGTGTCTGAAACATACAGACTTTATGTTTGCTGAACGAATGTACTTGTTGACTGCTTTCCCCTTGTTAGGTAAACACTCATATTGCTGCCAGAATGACCCTTCTAAAATACAGGTCTGATTGTGGCATTCAATAGATTAAAAATCTCTGTTACTCACTGTTCTTGGGATAATATCTGAGTGACTTGGTGTAGAATATAATCAAAATGAGCTCTTTCACCTCTTACTCCTCCACATTTCTAAATCTGCCATTCTCATTTGCATTTTCATGTATTTGAGTGTTTTGTTTCTTCTTTCTGGATTTCTCCCCTTCCATTCTTTAGCGGTCTAAATCTCTATATTTCCAGAAGTTTTAAATTTTCATCCATCCATCCATCCATCCATGCAGGGTACTCTCACAGAATTTATGGCCTACTTCTACTAAAGCACTCTTATGACTGTACTGTGACTATTTAGTTTTCTGGCTCAAATTTTTCTTGTGTTATGCACTCTTGCCCTTTAAGTACTTAACAATTTTTTTAAATTTAGATTTTTTAAACTTTAGAATATCACCCTGCAGAATTTAATGCCTAACTTACCATGGTTTTGTGAGTGATTAAATGGAAAATATGATGAGAAATAGCACAGTATTCTGGAAATATATCTGACATTAATGTTATTTTGTTACCATTTTAAGTGTTACCAACACATGAATATAGATTCATGTACCATTATTGATGCTTTCCCCATTACAGTTTAGCATCAACATCTAAACAGGGAAGGATAACATTTTACTAATCATATTATTTATGACTAACTTCCTTGTTTACAGGCTTGTGGAAATTATATTTGAAGAGCTGCCTATAAACATCTGATCTCTTTAATAATTCCATTTGTAAATTATTTAGCATCTGCATCCTGCCGTTATGTAGGGACCATGTAGTTGTGCTAGCTCATTAAAACTGCATTACTTTCGACCCCAGAATTCACCAATGGGATTTTATTATAAACACAATGAAATTTTGATTAGGGTTCTGAGACAAGTGCTTGTCAAAGTAAATACTTGCTATACATGTTGATATGTTACCACAGTGCTGAAAAAATAGGCTTTTAGGAGAACAATTATAAGTGGAGTAAAGGAGGGGAAATTATTTAGTAAATTCATAAAATAACTCATAAGCCCAAAC